CCCGTCGGTTGTGAGCGGCGGGGTGCGGCGCAGGTGGGCCTGAAAACGTGCAGGCGGCGGGAGGGGAGCGTGGGGAGTTTGAACGTCCGCAGCCCTGCAGCCGCGTGGCCTGGCGAGACTCGCAGGCTCCCCACACCGTACTCTGGAGGGAGGGTTTAGCACTTCTCTGCCGGCTGCCAGGCTCGCCTGTTGAAGAGAGAAGGGGAATTTTACAATGCCCAGTCTCCCCTTCCTCGTGGGCATGGGAGAGCCGAACCAGCGTGTCTGCGCAGAAGCAGCTCTGGGAAGCTCTCCATAGGTGTTGGACGGCTTTCCTGCGGAGATGAGAGTACTTAGTTCCCGAGACGATCGGTTTTTTGTTTTTGTTTTGTTTTGTTTTGTTTTTTGGTTTTGTTTTTGTTTTTTTTTTAACCTGCGAGAAGCTAAGCTCCTTTTTGCAAAGGATTGGACTAAAGCAGTTTCGTAAGCTTGAGCCCCTGGGGTTGAGTTTAAAGGACTAACAGCTTTTTGTAGATTATGCTAAGAGTGGATCTCATCTGGTAAAACCCTTCCAGAAAGTCCCTTGACTAATGTTATTTTCAGAGTATTTGCTTTCCGATGAGCAATGATGAGAGGATGCTGATAGCTTTGTCCTGTGAATACTGTGAGAACTTGTTTTGTTCAAATGATCTCAAATTTAGTGCCCCAAGACTAGTGTTTCTATTGTATGTCCAGCAGTGCACCTCTCACTTATTTCCTGTAATAAGAAGATAAGTTGTAGTTTTTTGATTGTTAGCACTGCTCTTCGTTCCTCCCAGTGCTGTTGTACAGCATATGCATTTGATTCTTCACGTCCAGTTGCCAAGGTAGCAGACACAAGAACAAATCAGATGAGCTTTGGAGAAGGGTTTAGGGATCCTTCAAAACAAAAGGTCCTAGAGAAGCACATAGTTTTACTTGAGAACATAATTGATCACTCTAGCCAAAAGCAATGTGGGGATTTGGGTTTAGAGTTTTGTTTTATTTAAGAAAAAAAAAAAAACTTTCTGCAAATTTAGAGGAGCTTGTGGTGTTCTAAACATGTTGAATAGCGTGACAACCTTCCAGTCAAGCTAAGCTTTATTTATTAACTCCTTTTCCCCCCCCGCCTTCTAGTAAAAGGGCAGTAACCCTTAGTGATTAATGTGCGGGATTGGAATTGTCTGAGACCAGTCCTGAGTCATAATTGAGCCTTTTGGAGTATTCCTGCCTGGGGAACATTAAGGACAGTTTTGACTCAATATTTCTTTTGGATGTAGTAAATACATTCGTATTCATATTTTGAACTTATGAGCATCCTGGTATTATCACAATATAAATTTTGATGCTTAAAAAGAATATTAAAGCAGAATTACATAAGATTGTCCTAAATATCAGCCTCTGTATCAAATGTCTCTTATTTGGCTTTTTGATGTGACTTTTTTCGTGTTTACTGTTTCCTCTGTAAGAGTGTCTTGTCTCTATTCAGTCAGCTACCAGTTTCTGGGTGCAAAATATCTGACAGTACATCTGGGGGGAGAGAAGTATGCAGCGGTGCTAGTTCTTAGCATAGAGTTTTGAGACTGGCTGATTTCTCAAGAGCAATGATCAACACTCCCAATGTTCCAACAGCTGTAAGTGATTTTTATGAAAAGTCCCCTGAAAGTGGTTTCTCCTGAGTCTGCTTCTTCACTTAATGCTTCCATTTATGTAGTTCACCCTTCCTCTGGCTTTACAGGAAAATGTTTCCATAGGATGGAGTTAGAGCACCTGAAGAGGCTGCGTCAGGCCAGCCAGGACCTTCTACAAAGGCTCAGAATGAAGCAGGAAGAGATCAGAAAAAGACTTCCCAGCAAGCCACTCTTGCCAGCTTCTCTTCATAATAGAACAGCTACTGAAAGATCTGTCCCCTTGCCCAGGAGAGGGGTATGTGTTGTGTCTGTGCTGGAAGTGCTGGGAAGCAAATGGGCCTTGTATGGTAGGCAGCAGCTCTGCCTATGGAGTGGTGTGGCAAAGGAGACAGATGGGCATGGAGGAGCTGGTAGAAAGTTGAATATGGAGTCTGTTAGAAAAGTAGCTAGTCTTTTGTTTATTGTTTATCCCGTGGTCTCAAATATGTTCTCCTTGCAGAGGGTTCAGAGGGTTCCTCCCTAAGAAATGTAGGTTTCTTAATCTAAGATAGGAATGAATGTTGTGCAATATAATCCTTTTATCTCTTCTAAGCACAAAGGCTGAAAGTTTAGCAGTTTCTCAAATTGGGAAAAGCTGCATTTAGCTGGAAGTGGACCCCTTTCTTATCCTTCTCCAAACACTTCGTAATTTCTCATGAATAATACAAGGATTTTGCTTTTTTTCCCCACGGGAGTTTAAAGGGGTGAGCAGACTAGAATGAGAGGTTGATTTTCTCTTACTGAGTGAAATGTCCTAAGGAAAGCTATTTGTAATCTGAGCAATGCCATGTGGTATGAGAGTCTCTGTCCTTACAGAAGGAAAATCAGGTCGACGCTGCAAAGTCTACAGCTGACCCTGCAGTGTTGGTGTCTGTGGAACCCAGAGCTTACGCAGCTAGAGCAGCCCTCTGTTCGTCTCTTGAACACAGCAGCAATGACAGAGGGGTACAGCAACAACAAGCAAAGATTCAGGAAGCAGTAGGTTTGGATTCCAGCTTTCCTGGGAAAGAGAAGAATGTTATGCCAGTGTCTGCAATCATTACGTGTGGCAGAGAAACCTCCGGAGTGGATAGGGATGGCCATGCTCGAGGAAGTCTAGAGAAAGAAGCCTTCCTTCTGGGACATGGAGAGAACAGAAAACAGTCCACTCTGCTACATGGTTTCCATGAGAAAAAACAGCTTAAGGGTCACCTGGACCCATCACTGAGTACCATACAAAGTGAAGAGACCAGCAAGCAGCATGCGGTCATTAGAGAGCCCAAAATTCGTAAATCAATCTTGCTGACATCTCAGTCCAAAGAGTTGAAGGTAAATGGTGAAACCAATGCTTTGCTGTCGCACTTCACTGTAAGACTCCTTGTCATTTGCATATGTGATTCATATGCTCAGGGAGAGCAGCCTGGTGCAGTGCTGCTGCTACGTAGCTTGTTTCCTTAAGCACGAAGGGCAGGTTATTGCCATGATCATCCTCCAAGGCAGCATAGGTGGCCTGATGTTTGGAGATGTGTGATGCAGGGAAGGCAGTGTTTTGTTTAAAGCCCTGAAAAATACTGCCTTAGCCTGGGCAAGTCCTCTGCCTCCGCTTTCTGTTTTATGAATTGAGAAGACAAAGGGCTGGTGAGCAAATTACTGGTAGAGGCATAGATAGAATCCAGCCTCAAACTAAGCCACAGCTGTCCCATTTGAACAGCCGCCAGTTATCTCCTAAGCTGTACCTTTGAATGTCCTGCTAGAGGTATAGGTAGTCGTTACGAATTTTTTTCTTCCCAGAAGGAAGCTGGTCATGTAACTTTTCAGTCTGACCCTGAGGAATATACCATACCTGTGAGCAGCTGGTCCGTGCGTCCTTTCCTGGGCTATGACTGGATTGCAGGTGAATCCTAAACCTGAAGCAAAGCTCCCAACATGATGTGGTAATGTGAAGAGTTAAAACACAGTTTACGATCCCTTTAAGTTGAGGTGTGACAGAACTGCAGACCTAGAGCCCATGTAGAAGGTCTCAGCAGAGGAGCTGCACTTTTGTCAGAAGCCATTCCCTGTCCAGGCCAGAGGTGACCTGTGATTCCCTGGAACAGTGAAGTGGCAGTAGTATGGGAATCCAGGCAGCAAATGGCAAAGCTGAGTGAAGTCAGAGGGAATACCAAGTAACCGAAATGAATGAATGCAGTAAGGGACCCAAACCACGTAGTAAATCTCTGGCTTGACATGATGGCATGCTCTTCTCATCCATTTTGGTGCTTCAGACCTTTTGTTGTTTTGGCTGTTTTGCGTGAGGCTTGCTTTGGTGCTTTCCCAAATTTGGTAAATCCTTGAACTTTTCTCTTTTCTTGGCGTCCTCAGGGCTCCTAGATACAAACTCTTCAGTAGCAGAAAAATCTGATGAATACTTTGCTGAGCTGCATGAGTTCCGACAGGCCAACAAAGAAGCGTGTATTCATGAGCAGCACCTGGAGTAAGTGGGTATGGGGGAAGGGCTGAAGCAGCAATGTATCCCTTTAGAGTAATGAGAAGTATAGTCTGATTGGAGTGGGAAATTGTAAGGGTGGCTTTGTAGTCCTTTACCTCCCAATCAGAAATGTATGCTTGAGAAAGGTTCAGAGGGCCTGCCCCCCGTCACTAACTGGTTTGTTTGCATGTTTCTTTAGGCCCAAGGCTCTGGATTACATAGTTCCTGAACAAGAACTAGATTTGATAACCAGTTCCCATAAGTGTAAGATCACATTTTTTCCTAATCCTATTTCTGTGAACAAACAACAGAGCAGTCTTTGCCTGTCATTCTGAGAGAGCCCCACATCATGCAAGACAAGGAAGAATGTGGGGTTTTATAGCTGCAGCTTCTAAACCAGATTCAGCTTCCTACTCCAGACACTTGAGTCTTCGAGGGATCCTCTCTTAATCAGTGTCATCTTATTTTGTCAGGGTTTCTTGTAATTGGCTAATGTTCTCTTTCTAAGTTGAGGAGGTTGAAGTTTTGGTTTTGCTTTTTAGGAACTTATTTGGGGACAGGAAATGTAAAAGATACTTCAGGAAAAGCAGCTCTTTCTATAGAATGCTTGTGTGGCACTGTGGTAGAGCATAGCTTTGTTTACTGGGTTGAGGAACCTTCTGACAAACTAGAAATACCATGATGTTTCATTACTCTGTGGCAGGTGTTTACTGTTATCGATTAAACCAGCGCCTCTTCACTGTCCCTGTGGATTCAGAATCTGCCTGCCCCATGTGTAAGATCCCACGTACTCACCGGCCCCCAGAGATGTTGGAAGAGCCAGCCTATGTCAGGTAGATAAGAATTATTGCTTTGTAATATGCAGAACTCAAGGAAACAATGGGGAAGAAGACACTGATCATGTGAGGGAGAAAACGGCATCAAAATAGCGCTATAGAAGGTTGCTGTTCTCAAGGCAGAGATATCTCTTGCTTAAAAACATCTTTTCCATGAGCAGAAACAGTTTTTAAGTCAGTGAGAAATGCATGTTTTATCTGAATTTGGTCCAGAATCTGAATGTGTGTGTCTGAATGTAAGCGTCTAATGCCCTAATCCAAAACTGTTTCACTTGGTTCACTTTGGGATTAGACCCTTGGTTTCTGAGTGGGGAAGGTGTGCAGATTTCTTCTGCCTTGCAGGAGGTGTAGGCAATTACTTCCCTTGTGTGGTTGCAGGGTCAGCATTCCCAGGGCTACCCTTCTGCCTGCCTACAAATACAAAGCCCATCGCAGGAAGAGCTTTGAACCGGCAGACAATCTAGCATTACCTGCGGTAAGTTGCTGTCTTCTTTCTGATACTGATGGTACAGCCCAGGCTGGGCATTGTTACAGCACAAGAAGGCAAGAGACTCTGGGACTCATCCCCCTGGCAGGGTTTCCACTAAAATTTCTGATCCGTGTCACTGAGATAGCAAGAAAAGCAATCGATGTGTGCTTCTGAGTTCGTACCTTTGTGTAACTGGCAGAAAATATATGACATATCTCCAGATGCTTTACACTGAGAAAAAGAAAGTGCCATATGGAGCTGTATACTTCTGGGGCGTGATTCAGCTGTCTTATTTCAGGCAATTTCAACACAATGAACCATACCTAAAAGTGCCTGTGTTTCTTTCCACAGATGCTAGAGAGTCTAAAAGACAAGCTTCTGAGAAGTATTCACAGTGCTAGACAAAATCAGTAGTGGCAATGTTGGATTCAGAACTGGCTTTGTAGAGCTGGTCCTGTATTCCAGCCACTAGGCAACGCTAGCCCTCGCCTAGAGATTTGCAGGGAAGAGGTAGAAAGAAGCCTGGTTTTGAGGTTTAGGGAACCGAATGAGTCAGTTGAGACAGGTTCAGAGAGGTCGGGTGCTTGAGTTCACAAAGCAGGAGATCGTTTTAGAAATAATTAGCCAGTGAAAAGCAG